TTATACAACTGTATACAAAATATCATTGACCTACTACTAGTGGTTCACCAGAAACTGACCTAATCACAAACTAATACATGAAAACTATGCAAAAATGTCAAAGTCAATAGACCATGACAGAGGGGGTGTGGCCAAATAATCTCCATGGAAATGAGATATGCCAATGCTTATACAACTGCATACCAAATATCATTGACCTACCACTAGTGGTTCCGCAGAAACTGACCTAGTCACAAACTAATACATGTAAACTAAGCAAAGTTTCAAAGTCAATAAACCATGACTGAGGGGGCAGGGCCAAATAATCTCCATGGTAATGAGATGTGCCAATGCTTATACAACTGCATACCAAATATCATTGACCTACCACTAGTGGTTCACCATAAACTGACCTAGTCACAAACTAATACATGTAAACTAAGCAAAGTTTCAAAGTCAATAAACCATGACTGAGGGGGCAGGGCCAAATAATCTCCATGGTAATGAGATGTGCCAATGCTTATACAACTGCATACCAAATATCATTGACCTACCACTAGTGGTTCACCATGAACTAGACCTAATCACAAACTAATACATTGTTGACGCCGCCGACGCCGGAAACAGCATACCTATGTCTCGCTTTTTGACTCCGTCAAGGCGAGACAAAAATCATCATTAAAGGGCAATAACTCCAATACGGACTCGTTGGATGATTTCCTCCATATTGTCTTTATTGTAGATCTTTGTCTTGCTGATCATATTTGCTTATTTAATTTTCAATCCATCTATTTTAATTTTTAAGATATAAGGCAAAAACAAAAAAAAATGATAAAAATCGTCATCAAAGGGCTATAACTCTCATAAAGAGTCGACTGAAGATGTCAGCCATGTAGACTTATTTGTAGAACTTGTCCTGCTGATCATTTTTGCATTTAAGATTTCTCTCTATCTATTATAGTTTTCAAGATAAAAGGCTAAAATGAAAAAAAATGGTAAAATTTGTCATTTAAGGGTGATAACTCCTATAAGAAGTTGACTGACAGTTTTGATGTATATGACAATTGGTAGAGCTCAACATTCTGAACATTTTTGCCCTTGTTAGATTTTCTCTATTTATAATGGTTTTCAAAATAATAGACAAAATTTGCGTTTGACCCTATGTTCTATTTTTAGCCATGTCCACCATCTTGGTTGGCAGGTTAGGTCATCGGACACATTTTTTAAACAAGATACCCCAACAATGATTGTGGTCAAGTTTGGTTAAGTTCGGACCAGTAGTTTCAGAGAAGAAGATTTTTGTAAAAGTTAACAGACGATGGAAAACGGTGTCAACGCCAAATGATGAGAAAAGCTCACTTGGCCCTAAAAATCAATCAATCATATTATATGCTCTTATCTCTTCTTTTGAAAACAGGTTGGAATATAACCCCTAAAATCCACTTAGACCATTGTTTTTAGCAACGAAATATTGTGTTAAGGATATATCAATCAAAACTAAAGTAACTGTGAAATACCAGTGTTTCAACAGATAGAAAACAGTGGCAACACATCCTAAATCTGTTAAAAAAGAGAAACTCATGAATCATACTAAAATGTTTATTTGTATATTACACTCCAGCAACTCTCATCTAATGTAACAAGATGACATAATAACAATGAAATTATGAGAAATGTAGATCAACTTCTACATTAAAGCTGATAATGATATTCATCTTCATTTATAACTTAAATAATATAAATAAATCAGAATGTGTACAGGACATTTTGGAATTCTTTTTAAAAATCTTACTATTGTTCAAAAGGGACAGCTATCAGAAGAAAAATCATTGATCATTTTACGGTGACTTTTTTTTAATGCTATTGCAGCCACCAATTAGTGTTGCTATTAAGATGATACAGTAACCAATTAATTGGAATTATCATTTAAGTAAATCATTTGAATTTTCAGAACAAATGTAATTGAAATTAGATATTTGAAGAAAAAAAATTTAAGATGTAAAAATTTTGCAGTTATCTGATAAAATAGAAAAGACAAATCTGTTTGATAAAATATGGATTTCCTAAATAAATCTGTTATCCATATCATTTATTGTAAATGTCGATATTTTCATGATTTCAATGCCTAAAATTTTGTCTTTGGGTTAAATTTGCACTGCATATCAACATAATTGCATTTTATAACCCATTTTGTGGGTATTTTTACACTCATTTTACGTGATCATGAAATAAACAAAATTAAACTTAGAGGGAAAATATCCAAGTATACTGTACTGTGTCAACTACTGTAAATTCAGAAATTAATGTGTGCATTAATCATTGCAAATCCAGTACTTCAGCAAAAAAAAAAATTCAAATAAATGCAATTGCAAATATATTATGATGCAAAATTTCTACTGAAACTATGAATGCAAGTTTTTATTATTGCAAACTTTATACTGCTGCATTTTTCCCATCAATGAAATTATAGCAATAGTATTTAATTATGTTCTGATGATCAAATAAGAAATTCAAAGCTGCAGACATTTTGTAAAAATAAATTTATATCTCAGATTTGATAGACATAGTTAGAAAACAAATCAAAACTTGATGAATGAATAAATGAAAATATATAATACTTTTTGTGTGAACCAGTCACCCTGTTAGCTAACATAATCAATGACATGAAAAGAATTATCAAATTCATACAATAAAATGCCATTTAAACTCTTTCACCATGATATAAAATGATTTCTATTGTTTCACCATTCAGTAAAATCCCTTAGTATACATTATTTTAGTGGACAGAGTTTGAATTCAAAGTGTACAAAAAAATGTATACAAATGGTTAACAACAACATATTACCACAGAAAACAGAGGTCATCTTTATGTAGGGAATTGTTAATAGAGTTTTAAATGATACTATTAAAAACAAAGTTATTAATTTGATATTTCAAGAAATTAATGGTTAATACCTAGAACATTATATAGGACGCTTTTATATACAATTTTGATCTAAATGAAACATGATGAAAAGGGGGGTTGGGGAATCAATCAATATTATCATATATACCGACATCTTGCATTGTTAGATAATAAGTTTCAAAGAGTTATAAAAACAATTGCACTAAACCATTATATACATATAAATATAATATCTCTTCAAATATATTTAACAACCATTATGACATTAGAAAACTGGTCTATAGTTTGAATGGTAAGATTAATGAAAGCTAATATCATTAAAATGCATTAATATATGAGCTGTGTTGGATAGAAATTGACCTTATGCAAGTGCACATTACACATGTACATGTATAAGAAAATTAAAATACGAAATCAAAAATGGATTTTGGTCTTTTTTGTAGGGTTCTTAAAATAACTCAACTTTCAAACAGTCACAAACTTTCCGTAGAGATTTTTCAACTCGAAATACGTTAACAGATGTATTGATATAAATTTGCATAAGGTCGATTTCTATCTGATGCAGCTCCTATGTATTAGTACTGAAGAAATGGACCTTGTTATTCAATTATTAAAGCTTATTGAAAACTACAACAAACACGTCAGTACAAAATACAATTCTCAAATTGGACTTTTTTCTAACAGGTTTTTAGTTTTATTTTTTCCATTTTAAATCTTTCAAGTTCTGATTTTGTTTTTTCAGATACAATTGTTGACTACTGTCCATTTGAATTTAAGAACAGAATGATCTCTTTTGCATTATTTAATTAAGATATTATTGTGGGCAATTGTTGATCCTCAAAAAGAAAAAAAAAACAGAGATAAAAGTAATGGGATTACTGAGAATGCTCCATCATATATTAAAAGAATTGAAAATGTGGTTTCTACTTAATGAAATGCTTTATTGCATCACTTTCCTTACATTACTAAAAAAATGCAAAAAAAAATCTGAATTCACAGTATTCTAATAAAACATGTAAAATTGGAACCATGATAATGTATTATGAATGTTACCATAGACCAGTATATATTAAAGAAATTTAATTTCTTTTCAATTCAACAATATTTACCTTTAAAATGCATTACTTTCATTTATATGTATGTACAATACAGCACTTGTCAAAGATAAAACAATAAATGAGCACCATTCAAAGGGGGATAACTCAAAATAAATACATTACAAGAAATAAAAAGAATGTATAAAAAGTCCTGAGATTGAAAGGGGAAAATTAGTGAAAACAAAATAATGATGACTAAAAGAAGACTGGAGAAAACAAATACAGAAAGCATTGAGGGTTATTAGCAAAATGATTTTTTTTTCATAAAATTTGATCAAATTGAATTAGTGTGATAATTTTCTGATTTTCTTACAACTTTATTTCAAATATCATAACAAAGTAATGCATATTCAAGAAGAAATGACAATATCAAAATTTTATCTATGCAATATTTTAATGTAATATTGCCAGCAATATTACAATATTCTACTACATTAATCTAGTTTGGCTTTCCAATAAGTAGCACCTCCAAAAATGTTCTTTTTTCTACTTCACAGTGTACACTTCATTGATTTTTACCTCTTAATCATTGACTCAATTATTTTTGGCTAACATTTTTCTGACATTTTTAACTCATATAAGCTTTGGAAAAAATATGCCAAAATAAATGATTTATGGACCTTAGTAAATATCTTAGTTTATTATATACTTAGTAGTAAATACAGATAAATTTTATGTGTAATACAATCATTGGCAAGCATGCTGTATCAGCCACCCGTGATGATATCGATATCAGCACGGTTGCAAAGGCTTTATCACACCTTTAATCTGTTTGACGTCACGTCATCGATTGCAGTCACTGTTGCAAAGGCTTTATCAAACCCCTAATCTGTATGACGTCATGTCAAACCTATAATCTGTATGACGTCATTTCAAACCTCCTTATCTGTATGACGTCATGTCACATAAAAACATCTACGTGAGGTTTATGTATATAATAAAGTGTATATGATATGGCTTTTTCAATATCACACACCGTATCAACCCTCAACCAATATAATCCTTCGAGCAAAGCTCTCATGATTATATTGGTGTTTCGGGTTGATACAGATGTGATATTGAAAAAGCCATATGATATTCTCTATTTACAAATAATTCTTAAATTAAGTTATAATCACAGATAGAAGGAAAGGAAGTCAACACTACCTACTGAACCAAATTTAATGGTTCTGTCCTTTTAAAGAATAAAAAATAATACTTTTAACAATGTTTCATGTTTTATATATTCTTATGACATCAAAAATGGTCTGTCGACAGATAGGACATAAAGCTCCTTTTTCCTTTACATGTATGGCACATTCGAAACACATACACACATGTCCACATTTATATAACACAGAATTAACTTCCCTTTCATAACAAACTGTACATTCACTTGTCTCATTTTCTGGGATTGATTTTTCTGTGGGCGATGTCGGTGTCGAAATGGAATGGGATTTAGGAGGAACAGGGGGAGACGATTTGGACGAAACATAAACCCCAGATGGCACACTAATACTCCGTACCATGGATGCTGCATGTTGTTCCTGCAGTTGCTGTTGTAGTAAGCCAACTTGAGAATTAGCGATGTTTTGTGTGGTAGGTTGAACTTGTCTCTCTGTACGTGGCAGAGCTACACTAAGTGGTCCCTGGGTTAGGTACGAGGTTGAACGTGGTCGAGGCGGCACTGGTGGCTGATGAGGTGCTACACCTGAAAAACATACAAAATATATATCAAACTTAATGTTTAATTTGGTGACAAGATTAAATTGCATTCACATTTGTAAGCAATAAGCATAGTATATAAAGAACAAGTACAAATGTATCAGCAATGTTGTATAATTCTAGCCGACCAACAATATAATGTCTTGTATTTGAGCTTTGAAACTTCAGTGGCAGATAGAGGAGATAAATCACATGGAAATGATCTGATTTGCCTGTAAATCTAAAATCTTTTCTACAAATAATATTTATTTCAAACATAATTCATCTTAACTCAACATCAATAAAAATCCACATGAATATGTTTAATTCTATCTAAAATGTAGCTACAATTGCTTACATCCACTTCATTTAAACTCTGGTGGATAGTTATCTCATTGGCAATCATACCACATCTCCTAATTTTTATTCTATTGCATGTAGATGTTGTAACACATTAAAATTCAATCAATTTAAAATTGTTTTAATATTCTCTTGGTATTCACTACTACTGATAAATGTCAGTTTTCTACTTTTTAAGCTTTGAGTTATCCTGATAATACAAAAACAGTTATAATGCTGACTCAACAGTTTGTTCTGCCTTTCATTTCACCCTCTATATCAGCAGAATGGTGTTCAATGTAATTCCTAGGGAATGAATTCATAGAAACTATGGTATTCTTCTGTTTTAAGTAATGTATGCATGTACAGTTCCACTGTACCTATTGCAATGTACTATTGCCTAATGTATTGAGTAGTCATAAAATTATGTTAATTTCAAATGAAACTACCTTCCAACAGACTGACACTTCAAGTTTATCTAGATTGCAACTTATATGTTGCTTTATATTCATTTACTACCAGTAGACTCCAATATACTGTCCAAGTACAAGAATCACTTGACCTTTTGTTAAATATTTCTCATTAAACATGAACCTTGAGATATCCAAAGAGATAAATTATACTATGTGAAATCACAGAAATCTTGCCACAGCCTTTCAATGGAAACTAGAGGCTCCAAGGAGCCTGTGTCGCTCACCTGATATTTTTGTTTACAATTGATGCATGAAATATTGCAACCATTATACTTTTGCTTTAGTTTCAGAGATATAAGCCAAAAACTGCATTTTACCCCTATGTTCTATTTTTAGCCATGTCGGCCATGTTGGTTGGCAGGCTGGGTGATCGTACACATCTTTTAAACTAGATACCCCAATGATGATTGTGGCCAAGTTTGGTTAAATTTGGCCCAATAGTTTCAGAGGAGAAGATTTTTGTAAAAGTTAATGGACAACAACCACGACGGACGACGGACGCCAAGTGATGAGAAAAGCTCACTTGGCCTTTTAGGCCAGGTGAGCTAAAAAGGGAAACTGGTGCATAAAACCAATCTGCCATAGATATCAAAGTTATGGGGTCCTGTTGCTCTGGCTTTTGTTCTTTTGCTTTTTTTTTTATTTCTGTGATGTTTAAACCGGTAACAGTCTTGTCTATGTTGTGTGTTGTGTATTGTTGTTTGTCTTTTCTTGGTTTTTTGTTTTTTTTGCCATGGCATTGTCAGTTTGTTTTCGACTTACGAGTTTGAATGTCCCTTGGTATCTTTCGCCTCTATTCTATGAAAAACTTGATTATGATATCTTGGGGAATCGATGAGCTAAAAGATAACTTTGTTCCATGCCTAAACTTTTGTTTATGTGCATATACCAAGAAGTAGCAAAATATAGACCAACAGATGTTGGTGAAAAATTTACTGAGGAACTGCAATGAACTTAACTTAAAAATATTAATTTGTTCATACACAGAGCTTCCTGTTTTGTTCAAATAAAGATATGTATTTTGAGAAATATGTAGTGATCGTAAGTGACCTATTGTTGTTAACAGCTACATCATTTGGTATCTGGTGGAGAGTTGTCTCATTGGCAATCATACCACATCTCCTCATTTTCATAAAGTTAACACCTGTAAACTTTTTCTTTTCATAAACATTACAGTACTTCTAAATATTCAGCATATAAACTTACCTAAACATCTCATTTTTTGTATGTTTCCATAAATGTCAAAAAATATCCACAATGGTAATGTTCTATCTACGTGCATTAAAGTTGCCACTTTACTGTTGTTTCTGGAATATCGGACTTCTCCTGAAAACACATTCAAAATGATAAAACATCACAACCATTTCATATATTTCAAGATAGAAATAGCTGCATACAAATTTCTATGCCAATCAATTGTATCTCTCATCTGGTATGTACTCCTTTGTAACTGAGTCAGTTTTTCTATACAATAAAAGGGGGCCAATATAGTTTCAAATGGAGAATCACAACACATCAACTTGTGGTCCAAATTAGCTATGTTACTGTAGAGAAATGGAATGATTTTGTTCTTTTACTTCCTTGTTTATCTATATCAATACTACTGAGTAACAATGGTACATGGTGACGGACATATTTTGGAGACTAGACACCCTAGATATGATTCAATTTAAAAGGACTCAATGTTTTAAGTAATAATGTTTAATGTATGTATAAAATGCATTGTGAGTTAGTCTCATGAATATTAAATTCATCTTCATAATTTTATATCAGTAAAATGTTTTGAGCTTGCCTTCAGCATTTCTTAATACAGTATTTTTTTAATATTGTTTTACTTGTATCTGTGTTATTGTAAAGATATTATAGAGTTCAGGGTTTTTCTAAACTGTCTTTTTTGTATATGTCATCATTCATGATTCAAATCAAAAGGAGAGACAAGGTGAAGGCAATATAGACCCACTATAAGAGTGGGGGTATAAAAATAAAATAAGCAACATATCATATGTGGAGCAGGATCTGCCTACCCTTCTGGACCACCTGAGATCACCCACCATTTTTTAGTGGGGTTCGTGTTGTTCAGTCATTAGTTTTCTATGTTGTGTTTTATATAATTTTTTTTTCTTTTCTTTTCTTTATGCCATAGCGTTGTCAGTTTATTTCAGACTTATGAGTTAGATTATCCCTTTGATATCTTTCACCTCTCTCTTATATCAAAGAAAAACTTCCAGGTTCAATCTAACAGTGGTCATCTAAATTTCCTTTCATTTCTCCTCCATAATGCAGGTGTATATAACAAAACTAAGAAACTGACTCCAACTGTTTATGAAAACCCTACTAAAGGAGACAGTGAATGAACATTCGTGTAATTGTGCTCATCATGCTGTCTATGAAATCAATCTAATCACTTCATAAAATATGTAGACATGGGTGTAGCCTGAAAGGTATTTAACACCAACCATAGCTATATATATATTCTTTCCTTTGTTTGTATTGATGACAAATATCCAATTTACATCAATAATTCAGTTATAAAAGAATGGATTCTGTATGATAATTTCTCTACTAATGGAAAGAATTGATAATTGGTTTTTTTTCTTGAGCCAACTATACGGCCAGTATTTTGTTGTTGAATGGTTTGAATTCAGTAATTTCTACAGAGTAATACCAACCATCATTAGTTAAATGAAAACACAACTCGTCTCCTATTTCTGGTGACCGATATACATCTTTATTTACAACCCAATATTCCATTCTATCTAACAATAAGTCAGCATCATCTGGTAGTTCTGATTGTGACACAGAATCGGGTGAACACGTAGTAAAGCCCACTGCTAGACCACCAACATACGATCTATCTATTCCTAGTACTTGCAGCACTACTTTTTCACCACATTTTAATGGTCTCGATGAAAAAACATAACCATTGCAAAATTCTTCAGGTGCACGATAAGCTATTGTCCGACTAGGATCAATGATCTGTATGTTTTTCCCTTGAAGTTTATGCCATTGCATTAAAGAGAATCTAGTCATTGTATAGTATTTGATTGGCAAACTGTTTGACTGAATGACAGTGGTTGACGGTACTGTTTCTGATGTCATTGCTGTCATCTGTGATGTAATAGCCGATATTTCAGAAGGCATTGACACAGAAGGACGATTTAACATGTTGTTCAATAAAGGAGCCTCTGAAAAATAAAGAACAAGCACTGTTAATGTGTTGCAAGAAAGCAGACAGCAAGTTTTGCATATTTTTTTCATAAATATAATACAGAAATCATTACCATATACTGTGGATTCATTTATTATTCGTGGGATACCAATTTTCATTGATTTAGTGGTTAAATTACGGTAAACCAAGAATATAAATGTTCAACGAAGTATAAATTTTCTATGATGGCATATTTGGCAAACTAAGTTAAAGTTAAACTGTTTAGCATCCAACCGCCTGCTAGCCGTACTTCACCAATTTTATAACTGGAGTTTTACTTCGGAAAAGGCAGTTAAAAAGTAGATTTAAAATTTTTTTAAGCCTCATGTGAATATGTGCTCAATAGACATGGGTTCTAAAATTCCAAACTGAATAATAGCTTCTACTGCTATAATCTAAGAGTGTTCACAGTTGAAGGAATTCCATTGTAATTTGTTTTCAATTTAGAACATAAAAAATAATTGGATTAGTTTTTTTCTTTATTATTTTCATAAACAAGGCAATCTCAATAACAAGATAATAAATGCACTCTGAACAACATGTGCATAGCATTTCATCTAATGCACCTAAATCCAACAAATATGAACTATACAATATATACATGATATACTGCTCTAGCTTTTTATTCAGCAACATATTTTTCAACATCCCTTAATTTTGTCCCATTTTAAACCTACCCATGTACGTGTATAGTTACATACTGTCAGATTCAATGTTTTCAAGGAAATATCATATATCACTGTAACTGATGAATGTGGTCAGATTCACATGATCAGGGGGATTTTTTTTTCCAAATGGAGTATTTATAAATATTCACGATCATGATGTCTATATCACTAATAATAAGACATGTCTACCCTACAGGTATACGTACAGTTACAGTAGAACAAGGATGTGCTGTGGTCATTACAATTATCTCTTTATTTGTCTTATTTTTAGGAGGGAAGATAAAAAGTACCCTGGTGACAGGCAGGATTATTATATTTTAAAATAGTCTGAAAGATTTCTGGGAAAAATATTCATACTACTAAGACAGTGTTTGAGCAAAAAAAAACTTTTGTCGTAAGATAGTATGGTTAATGCAAAAGGATAGATTTCAATAAATTAAGGAGGGGAGTCTTTCAGCAGTCTCAACAGAATAAGACTCAAAAAAACTATTTCTGGAATAATGTTTTGGTACCTAGGGCAATTATTTTTTTAGGGTCAGCGATAAAAAATAGGGTTGGTTAGAAGGCAAGGAACTAGATATAAATAGTGGCATATCTAAAGATAAATAATACAAAGAACCTTTGTAAGTCGCAAGGAAAATCTTAAACCTAATGAACAGAAATCTGCATTTAGTCCTACTGAGAACTATATCTTTCCTGATAACGACTTAAAAAAACACCATCGGTTTAATTGAATTCTAAATTCAAATTTTATGAAAATTCACCTAGATAATGATTGATAGGTGTAACCTTTTATTCTTAGTACATTGCATCAAAACAACTTGATAATTTCTCTTTTCAAAACAATTTTATAAATGTTCTTGTACATAAGAAATAATCATCAAATCACTAGACAGATAAAACAATCTATGTAATAAGTAACAGAACATAGCTGGGATTGTTGAGGGTACCGATACATTCCTTCTATAAAACTGATGTGTAAACGGAATACTTATTTTTTAGTACAGCAAGGTCAAGTCCAAATTTTTACCATCCTGATTTACTTTGGAACAAGTATTTTGCCTCAAATTACTCTAATTTGAATATTTTACTTAAGAATTGAATGCTTCTTTTTGTCATTTTATTGGGGTGTAAAAGCGTTTACTAAAGGTCTGAAGTACATTTTGTGTGAAGAGCAGAAGTGCTTCACACTAAAAATGTGTGCATGATCAACGTTTTTATAATCCTATAAATTACAAAAAAAGGCATTCAATTCTTATAATTACATTTTTATGCTCCAACTATGAAATTATGAGTTATAGCAATTTTTTCGTTTGTTTTCCTATGCATTCTTGTGAACTTGTCATGCCATGCATGTGCTGTCATGAATGTTGTATTTGATATTGTAATGGCTCACTATTGCTTTCATCCAAACTCAAAAGTGCTGAGTCTAGTGAAAGATACATGTAATGTAACTATTCATCTATAATGGTTTTTATAAGAACAATATTAGGTATCAACACCAAAATTTTAAAAGAGTATTCATATAAATTGTAAAACAGAACAAAAACTAAAATGGAAGAAAAAACAGGGAAATATTTTTTTTTATTCAGTCATGCTTTTAATTTGACTAAAATATGCAACCCATCTAATGATTAACTGTTTTACAAATTTAAAAATATAAAACTCCATGTGTTTAAAACTCAAGCCATTAAAAAGTGCCCTTGTTCTTGGGAAAGATAAATACCTAGACTTTTGTCTCAACTATCCCACAGGTAAAGGATGGAATCAACTATTGTCAATCCAAAAAACACAGACATTCATATGTTTTAACAAAATACAAACCATAAAAAATAAAATGCTTCACTGAGCTCAGCTGGATACGACCGCAGAGGTCGAACCATGAACAGTTGGGGCAAAAATGGACACAATATTCGCACTTGAGACAGGTCTGAATTTGGAATGTAATTAAATATTTGACACATAATAGGTTCCTGACACCGAATAACTGTAGTCAAAGAAATTAGAATTGGTTATATGATTTGAATTTATATTCAATTTTTTGCTTTTGTGCAATACACTATGCTGTTGCGCTCCCCCCCCCACAACAAACAAACAAAAAAATTACCCCCCTTTTTTTTTGCTTATGTGAAATACACTATGCTGTTGCGTACTGACCCCCCCCCCCCCCTCTCCTTTTCCAAAAAAATTAAATTCTTTCCCTCAAGATATGGTCATAATCTCAATTCAAATTTCCAATGGCGTTTGCAACCATAATTACCAATTTAAATACATCATAAAAGTCTTAAAATAGAAAATGACATACATAATCATTGCTAAAATTAATATTCCTTTAATAGTAACTTCTAAGAATAAATTGACAGCTAATCACCTCAAAACAATACAAAACTTCTTTATACATAATTTAAAAGCAGTGTAAGGGAGGTAATCCAAACATACACAACATTGTACTTTAAATGTGTTTGGATATCCTCCCTTACACTGCTTTTAAATTGTCCATTAACCAGGAAACCTTTGTTTTTTCCCCCTTTTTTGCCCCTGATTCCTAAACGGTTTGAGCCATAACCCCCCATAGTCAATCCTAACCATCCCTTTGTGGTATGGAAACTTGTGGTATAATTTCAGAGATATTCATACACCGTTCCACAAGTTATTGTCTGGAAACTAGAAAAATGCTTATTTGAGCCCTTTTTTGGCCCCTAATTCCTAAACTATTAGGACCATAACCCCCAAAATCAATCCCAACCTTCTTTTTGTGGTTATAAACCTTGTGTTTAAATTTCATAGATTTCTATTTACTTATACTAAAAGTTATTTTCTGGAAAGCAAATGTCTTCGGACGACAACAACGACGTGATACCAATATACGGCCGCAAACTTTTTTGCGGTCGTATAAAAATCGAAATTTATTCTTAATTCATGAAAAAAAGACAAACACTACACAAAATATGTTATTTGATGTCGAAATTATCTGATAAAGTTATTATCTTTTTCAAAGACTCTTTTTTCTAAAGAACTTCACTGATTTATTTACACATTTTCAAGAAATCCAGCATCTGTAGCCTCACTTCCACTTCAGATTATGAAAACATAATGGTGAAGATATTTACCACATAAACAGGAACACATCTTATCGCTCAAGTACTTCATCATAAAAAAAATTGTCTACATCGTCTGCCACAGATTCAATAGGTTATGTACATGTATTTATTATTTATACTTGTAACACTGCAGGAAAAAGTCAGTACTGCCAAAAAATTAATTCAGGTATGCTAAAACGATGTTTTAAACTAAGTTGGGAAAAGGAATCTCTAAATTATCACAGTGTGTAACATTCTGAAATATCAAGTGAACTAAACTCAAAGAGTTACATAATAATTTTTTTTCAGAATATTTTAGATATCATATACCCTCTTTTGATAATTTTACAGTTATTGAAAAATTGCATCTCATTTTTCCTAGTAATGATTATAATGTCAGTAAGTGCTGCATTAAAGGCATAACATGATAGTAAAATGTACAAAGATTAGATGTTCATTTCATTATAAATAATTTATAATATTTTTTGTATAACATTTTGCATTATCATTATCTATTATGTACCTATATCATTATATGGGCATTGATATAGATAGCTGCCTGTAAATGTGTACCTCCTTAGTCAAAATTTAGTCCCTCCCCATGATCAACTCTCCCATTCATGATGGGCAGAACACTTTATATGATAAACTTATAGCCAATATAAAAGAAAATTGTGTTCTTTTATTATTTCTTTACTACTTGTCTTGAAAAAAACAGGTATTTATTTTTATCAATAGTACCGCTTAAATCGACGCTAGGGGCCATCTTGACCTCGTTGTAGTGTATGAATGATTCGTTCATTGCTGAAGACACTACATCAACTGTCAAGATGAAGAACAGGAATAAAAGCCCTGTTCATTGATCATTTTCTATGTTTTCTATGTATTGTGTGCTATTTTGTCCCATGTACATTTACTCCATATCCTTTCATTTTCTATATATGATACATGTAATATTAATTAATAAATTTTCTGTTCAATGTTTGAATACAATTCAGATATTGGATTTTATATAAAAATCTTTGACTTTAACTTTTACTTCATGTGTCTCTGTTCAAGATAGAATTAAATAAATGTGGAAAGTGTCCACATGTGGACACAGATGATGCCCCCGCTTGCATATCATATAGTTATAAAGGGACATAACTGAAGAACGGTAAAAGTGACTCTACCCAAATTTGAACTTGATTTGAGTTTTGTGGTAATAAGCATTGTGCGTAAGTCTCATA